GGACTGTGCTGTCTCTTGTCTCTCTGCCCTTCCTAGAATGTGCCCCCTCCTTCCTGAGAACCTTGCTCTCTATTGAAATTCACCACATCCCCCCCCCCTCCACTTCGTAGATATATTCCATCACATTCTTAGATTAAAGCTTACAGAATGGTTCTAATCTTTTTGGATGACTGTCTAACAGAGCTATCCTTCTACCAGTGGAAAGAAAGTCCACTAATAGAAGGGGAGCTATGCCTGCCTAGGATGTCTCCAAGATGGGGACAGAATGCAGCTCCATAAAAACATGTTCCCACTTCCAGAAGACATCCAAATGGGCCATTCTTGGAGTTGGGTACAGGCAACTTTAGACTTACTTGATTCTAAGTCCTTCTCTTAAGAATGGCCTAGATCGTATCCCTCTCTCCCTGTGTCACATAGTCCCCAAGGGAGGGAGGGAATTTCCATAAAATCTGCAAAAACTGACTCTCTTTTCCTGTCCTGTTCTATACCATCCTCTACTCATCCTCCACTCCCAGTTCAGATTCACTTAGAAAGGATTACATGGTCATCTGATTCAAATATAATTAATTAAGGGTGTGGACTGGGATTTCCATCAATTATTATATGAAGTTGAACTTCCACCAGTTAGGATTACTCAATTAAGTCTTACTAGGTATTTGCTTGAGCCACATTCACATGGCAGAAAAATATCCTAACTTCAGACTTATTTTAGACAGCATTAGCTGCTACATAAACTGGAACACAGTCAGCATTTAGTTTTGCACTTGGCTGAATCTTGTGATCCTCTTTGAGCAAAAAATGAGCACAAAAATAGCATAGAAGAAGGCATACAGTATGTTAGGTGGAAATACTTGCAAAAATGTATGTATTACAGAAAATGGTGTACAAAATGTATTTAAATTTTCCTGCACATGAAGTTATGTCAGAGCAAACAGATTGGCCACTCATACTTGGGACATATGAAGTTGCCTAATACCATTATCCTGTCTAACAAAGCAGGGTCAGCTTTGGCTGGAAGAGATTTTCCAGGGGTTGGGAAAGGTCTTGCCCATTACCTGGTATCATAAAAGAAACTGAACTTGGGACCTTCCAAATACACACCTACTTCTTCTGTAACAAACCGTCTAGTTGGATGGGGCTCCTGAGAACTTGTTGGTCTTTCCTTCTCTCACCTGCACATGCAAACTTACTGAGATGAATGACTGAAGGGAGCCCACGGAGACAAAGCTGGCCTGGCAGATGCAGCAGTTCTCCCATCTTTGAGCTTGAGGTCACAAGAGCTTGAGGTCACAAGGACCCTGCACCCATAAAAATGGTATGGAGAGTAGACCATGCCCAATTGGAGCATAAGCAGTTAGAGACTCCCAATGGCACCCAAGTGGGAATGGTTCATCATCTAATGCAAGTCAGTTCATGAAAAGCCCACCAATAAGATTAACATTTCACCTCCCAGCAACATGCTGCTTATGTAAAAGTTGCAAACACTTTGATCAGTTCTTCCAGGAAGGTCCTATAATGTTCAAACAGTGATTAAGGAGGGCATCTAATGAATCCAACCCTAATGACAGCATTTAAGGAAGAGTTTTCTGCAAACATCTGTTTGCAATTATACGCCTGCCAAAATATTGGCCTGGTGACTAACATTTCAGAAAATAGCCCTTAATGAAAGCAATGGGAATTTGTAATATGTGGGCTGAAACCAATCTTAAAAATAACCCTGGTTCCACAAATAAAAGTCATAAAGCAAATGAGAGAATGCCCCCATTTTTAGAACAAAACAATTTGCTCTTCAAAACTCAGTATGCAAACTTCCAAATTAAACAAAACTCTTTCTTAGGCCAGGTGTTCAAAGGACCCTAAGGCAGAATTCCCACATCTTTATAAAGATTTTAAATAGTATGAAAGCTAACAGATTAATTAATTAAATACTGTACAAAAAAGAAAATATCAGAAAGAGCATTCTGGACAATCTGTAGGCTTGGGCCTAATTTTAACAGCCCTCTGTTAAGTTTAGACCTAGTTAGGTTTAGATCTATTCCTCTGCATGGCAATGGAGAGAGACAAAAGCAGAGAATGAAAAGATTGTCAGAATAAGCAAATTGGGGGGGGGGGGGAGAGGCCAAGATGCCATAAAGTGAGAGACTGCATAGCCCCACCATTTTGATTAAACCTCAACCATCAATGCCATAGAGCTCCCTACAGATGACTCCTGAAGGTCTGCAGTCCTCAGCTGTTCATCCTGCTTTGTATGACTGAGAAACACACAATTTTGTCTACCAAGTGTTTACTGCTTTGATTGCAGAGCTCTGTGAAATGAGGAATGTCTGCCTGGTTTTCTCTAAGCATGCAAAGATAGGAAGATGATCCCTGACTTGGAGCAGTGCATGCCCATTTATAGGACAGTGTCCATTAAATGTGTTTAGCAGGACTGGGCAAGCTCAGGCTTCATGACAGCGGGTGGGGACAGAGCTAAAGATGGGAGAACTTCTCTTCTCACAACCCATACTCTCTTACATGTATACTCCAGACACAGTGTATTCATAGGAATCCATACACATCTCTCCTATGCACACTTCCCATTCAGACATAGGATTTGTGCTTCTCTGTGCCCTGAGAACCCTGTTGCTTCTTACCTACATATAAGGAGGAATATGAAGCCATCTGGTTCCAGTCTTTGTCTCTTCCTCCATGGCAAAATCAGATCTTTGAGCGCATTGAGAAAGGGGAGCCTCTTAGGCTGATGGGGAGCCCCTCTGGGCTGAATAAAGAAATGGAGCCAAAGGGCACCAAGACTTTCAAAAGCAACGCCTGTTTACTTCTGAGCAAAGAATATTTATACTTGGGTGGGAAAGTAAATGTCCATACTTTAGGCTGATCCTCTAACTATCACTAATTCAGTTTCATTTACACCATCACGGAGGCAACAAACATATCCTATCGGTCATAGGTAAAACATCTTGAAGATTATCTTACAAATTGCAGCTGGGTTATTTTATGCTGAAAAGCATTCAGTATACTTGATGGAAAATCACAGACTGATTTTGAGCTGTTTACGTATTCAGCTTACATTTTTCAACTGGGACATTTTTAAGGGAGGGTGAGTATAAGCGCTTTCCCCCAATTTCAATTGTAATGTTTCAGACCATGTCTAGATCTGAGGACAGCACAAGCCCTACGCAGGCATTCCGAGAACACGTGTAAGCATAAAGTGGGAACAATATTTGGGGTGACTGAACTTGTTCTGCTATGGCAGATCAAGTACAATGCCAGCTCTGGGTCTGGTCTTCCTACAAAAGGAGTTTTAGGCAAGTTCACTGGAACATACTTTAAGTTCTCCCTGCAGTCAGGAACCCAGCCATTGATCATTCCTGATAGAGAGGCCTACAAGCAGGTTCCCTTTCCCACTCAAAACCGAGAATTGTGTGGGGGTGGGGGTAGAGGGCCTGATTTACCCTACACACTCACATGTATAGCTGCCCAGTCCTGTTGGGCTTTCCTGTTTCCACCTGGCCTTTAAACTTTCCTAGCCTGAGAATAGGATTGATTTCAAAATGGAAAATCTAGGGCAGGTGTCAAGCTAAACTACAGTGACCTTACATCTTTTATTATGAAGGACAGTCCTTTATTTCAGAAAGCTGTCCTTTAGATTTATTTACTTTAATTATTTATTTTCTTGGTTTTGCTCTTGAATTTTCCTTTGTAAAGCAAAGTTATAAACATAAACAATTAATTTTTTTAAAAAACTTATGAACCTCTTTCAGATTGGCCCCTTTTTGAGATTTGTCCTTTATTTCTTCCAGGAAAACATGGTCACTGTAAGCTCGACAGTATTTTGTTAGGGAAAGAAAGAGACCATCTAAAAAAGTGGAAACTGTTTTAGTTAATTACTGGGATATAGGTATGTTATGAAACATACAGGAAGTTTGTACATTATGCCTTTAAACCTCTAAAGCATGCCAAGGAGCTTCATTTATGCATTTAGCAGCAGATTACATTGTTGCTGTTGTTGTTATTATTCAACAGAGAAAAGGCTGGGCTTGAGAAAGATTCAGGATAATTTCCCGCAGGAGAAGAATGCATCTACAGTAGTCCCCAGTTTAAGAACAAGTTCCGTTCCCAAGGTCTGTCCTTCAGTCAAATGTGTACGTAAGCCGGAACAGTACTATTGTATAATACTGTATAAGTAGTATTGTGTAATTAACTTAAACCATTGTGTATCTAACTCGAATTTTGCTACAATAGGCTCCGTTCTTAACTATGGGTCATCCTTAAACCGGGCATTCTTAACCCGGGGACTACCTGTACTCTGGAAATTAAACCTGTCAGATGAGCATACACCTCTCCTTCATTATGTTACAGTTTTATCCATCAATATTGGTACAAATTACATTTAGCAACTTCCAAGGTTGCCATAGAAACAATCAAGGGAATCAATGTAAATAAGCAAAATGGGAGATGCCCAAGTCTGGACTTCTCTTCCTCCTCTTCCTTTGTTCCCGTTGTTGCAGAGGATGAAAGAATGAATGAAAGGGGCTCTTTTTGCCCTGCCTTCAGAGAATCCCCTCTGCACGAGAGGTCAGTGGGGATTCAGAGGCTCCTGCAAGACTCTCCCTGGGGGCGTTCCATTCCTTTCAGCAGACAGACCTCATCTGTTTCAGCTCCCTCATCTTACAGATAGGTGTGAGACTAGGCCGAAGCTGCCGTAACCTAAAGATGAAGCAGGCACGTAAGCAGAGAGGACAAAGGCCAGGAATCTTATCTATGAGATCCCTTCAGGGAGATAGATAGGAAGGAAGCAAGTCTTAAGGAAAAAACAAAGGACCTGAACCAGAAAGAGGAAGTTGGGCCT